TACTAATATTATCACATTCTTATGTTGATGATTTATTGTCTTCTAAAATTTAATCACCAACTTTTGTTAAATCGTTTATGGTTGTTACTGATTTTTATTTTTGAGAGAATCTAAGGTTTTCTTTTCTTGGTGATTAATGTATGAACAGGTCAAGCAAAAATCTCGTGCAGGCAATCAACGCGAAGGCAAAAGGGTGTCTGGGAGGAAAAGCCTTGCAGGTGTTTAGCCGTAGATTTAACCCAATATTTGATTTCTATAGTTTTTAGATTTTTTCTTTGAAAATACATTGTTATCTACCAATCTCCCAGGGGCTGGTACAACGTGGCAAGGTGGGGTGAGAAGAAGTACCAGGTTCAAAACCCGACCGTTGGAGTACTGGAAAGGTGAACGTCTGTTGTACGGACGAGTACATGAGAGTAAGTGACACTTATTGCATCCTTTTGGAAATGTCTCTTAACAATTCCACTCGTATACGTTCCTCTCAAATTCCTTTATTTTAAGGCTCTTTTGGACTGATATTGATTGTTTCAACGCCAAAAGCTTTTAAATCAGTAAAATAATAAGGAGCGTTCCTTCTATCATATATTCTATGATTTTTATTCCAAGTGCTTGTAAATTCATTACTGGATTCCTTTTGTTAGGCCTGGCAACGGTAATTGGGTTGAAGTATGTGTCTCCTGCTAAAGGTAATGGCCAACCAACTCTGAAGGTGAAGTCTTTGGTCTCCAGTGAGTACAACGAACTTGTTGAGTTAGCAGCTCTGCACTGAGGGTCGTGTACAAAAAGGAGCAAACATCCTCGAAGCTTTTCGGATTCGGTTTCTTGAATATAAATAGCATCTATTATGCTCATGCCATTGCCTTGTAAACTTCTGCGCCCTTTCTTCTATATCATATGTATATCTATCAAGCTGTCTTGCTTGTGTCGCTCGTGTACACGTGTCATGTGATTTCATAATTTGAACCTTTCATACCGATGTGCAAATTTGAACCTTTCGTGCCAATGTATTTGGATTTGGATTTGGATTTTCAAGCCAATCAGAATGCTAGCAATTTGACTACATCCTGTCAAGTTCTAAGTATTTGGTTTAAAAGGGTCAAAGGCCATCCAAAACATTCTCTGAATTCATCTTCTAAGATTGAAAATGCTAAAGGATTACAAAATTAGGTTGTAGCTTAAAAATGGAGAAATTTATGGGATTAGCTCTACATGTTTACATTCTTCAACATCAGTACAGTAAATCACAACATATTTACCAATCTTTGTTTTTCCGTTCTGACTCAAACAATCAGACACTCCCACTTAATAAATTACAAAGAAAAAGGAGAGGAAGAAAAGAAAAGATAAGGAACATCCCTCCAAATTTTCAAATCATCTACCATTGAGATTAGAGAAATGAGCAAACATTGAACTTCCCGAGTCATCATCGACGTCTTCGACCTCTACTGGTTGCCTACTCTGTTCTACCTGCACGACAGGGCGCTCGATCGAGTTTGGGGCATTTGTCGAAGCATCGACAGAGGTCGCAGGGGCAACAGCTGCCACACTTGCGACCGTGCTTTCATCTTCACCTTTGCCTTGTGAGAACGATTCTTGAAGTTGTAATGCATACTCCAAATTCCACAGCACATCCCCCATGCTTGGCCTATCTACACCATGCTCAGCAAGACACTTCTCTGCTGCTTTTGCAAGCTTGGTCATGGACTCAGGATTTGTGGCTCCAACTAGAAGAGGATCCATTATCTTCTCCAAACACCCTTTTCTCTTACACTGCATTGCCCAATCAGCCAAGTTCACTTGCTCTCTTGGTAAAGAAGGGTTGATTGCTGGCCTTGCACACAAAGCCTCAAGCAAAACAACTCCAAACGAATAAACATCTGATTTCTCTGTCAACTGTTGCCTCCTGAAGTACTCTGGATCCAAATATCCAAAACTTCCCTTCACTGCAGTACTCACATGTCCCTGCCCCATCGCAGCATCCTTCGATAGCCCGAAATCAGCTACTTTAGCAGTGAAGCTCTCGTCGAGCAAAATATTGGTTGTTTTGACATCACGGTGAATGATTCCCTGAGCCGTTCCTGTATGAAGGTAATGAAGACCTCGAGCCGCTCCAATACAGATCTCTAGCCTTTGCTTCCATGACAATGGAGTCACATCTTTTCCATACAAGTGATCTCTGAATGGACCATTTGACATGAACTCATAAACCAAGATCATCTCAGAGTTTTCATCACAATAACCAATCAAAGAAACCAAATGCCTATGTCTGAGCTTTGAAAGCATATGAATTTCAGTTTGGAATTCTGTAATGCCTTGTTCAGATTGTGCATTTCCTCTCTTGACAGCAACTTTTGTCCCTTCATCAATCACTCCAATATACACATTTCCAAACCCACCAACGCCAATTATTGAATTTGGATCAAAGTTCTTGGTGGCTTCTTGCAGCTCTGCCAAACTAAACAGCCTGCCAAGCCCTAAACCAGTGTTGGTCTTGTGTGATCCATATGAGCTCTTGCTCATAAAGCTAGAGTCCCCAGCATGTACAGGAAGCAACCAAGAAGAGAAACTATTCCTCTTCTGCCAATCTTGAGGCCTTTTATGCCATTTCATCACCATAGCACCAAGCCCGACAAACGCCCCGAACATCATCGCAAACCCAACAGCAGCTACCGTACCACGACTACTCCCATTTGTAGACTTACCATCCACTCCAAACTCTCCATCCAAACTATTAACAGAATTGCTTATTTTCAGTACCTCTAAGCCATTCAAAATGGCATTCGTATCACCCATTTCGACGTTAGCCGGACCAATTTGAACCGTCAATCCCCCTACCATCAAGGAAGCATTAACCACAACATCCTTGTAGTATGCAGTAGCCAAACTCCCTAGCTTGTGTGACAAATCCAAGTTGGTTATAGCAGGCTTCCCATTTACATAAACGTTGAAATACAGATTATTGAGTGCTTTGCTTACAATGTCACAGAAATGGAAGCGAATTAGATACCCAAATGAAGGATCTGCCTCCAATTTCCATGTGACATTAAAATTTGGTACACTTGTATGAGCTTCTCCCATTTGAACTGCACTGGCATACACACTTGGAGGAGCTATTAACATGCCAATTTCTTCCAACCCATCTTGATATTTAATGCTATTGGTCTCAACAATGACACTCCTACCAGCTGCTTTTGGTGTCCTGTATATCTCATCTGTCTCCCATGTCCTCCCAATAGTGTCATTTCTTGGAGTGATTATAGGTCCTCCCATGTTCAACCTATACAATGTCTGAAACGCATATTTCGTCAGCCCCTCGATCGTCCCGACCGGAGACAGTTCCATGTTCGAGTCAGCTATCAAGTCCATCGGAGCCGAGACGACCTCGATGGCATTGATAAAAGCAGCTGAATTCTTCAATGGGAAGAATGTGATTGACAGTTTTGGTTCAGTGATATTGAGAAGAAACTCCTTAAGAACAAATGTGGAATCATTATTGAGGTTGAAGCTGTGAAGCAACACATATTTTTCAGTGACTACTGAAAACTTGGCTTGTAAGAGATCAAAGTCATTGCTTTTAACAGGCAAGAAATGGAGGCGTAGCCAATGCCATCCTGGCTCTGCCATTTGAAAAATGTAAGTAGCTTCATGGAGGAATACTCTTGCTGTTAAATCGACAGGGGACGGTGCCTTCGTCTCCGGTGTGGCGGCTGCTACGAGATGATCGTTGGCCTCTAAGTACTGTTCCGATTGTTCATCAGTTTGGAACAGTCTTCCATCAGGGAGTGCACCAAGTTCCTTGTTGGCTCCACAGTCAATGAGGAAGTTATCTTTGGGAATGAAGGAAGCGCCCGGTCCAACAGCAAACGCGGCGTTCGGGTCGTTAAAGACGAAGCATAGAACAACCAGGAGGATAGCCATCGAAGAAGATGACATTAATGGAGAGGAGATACTTGAAAATCTGTTGTTTTCTTTGATCTCCATTCCCTCCTGGGTGAGGAGGTCTGAATCAAAAAAGAAAAGAAAGCAACACAAAAGGCTAAGGATTTCTAAAAAGAGTGTCTATTATGGCTTTCATTGAACCAATTGGTTATTTTTATCCAACGCTTTTAAATGGATGAGAAGAAGCTTTGAATGATTTCTCAACAAAATTCACCCAAGAATTGGTTGTACCTAATTTGTTGGTCCATTGAAGTTCTTGTTGGTTTTTGGTCGCTTTCTTTTTTTAGTTTCATCACCTAAAACCTAAGTACAGTGTTTAGAAAGAGTCAAAGGCCATAACTTTTGTGGTTTTTGCATCACAATGGAAGGAACAATGTTGGGGGGAAAATGATTCAAAATCAAAGGAATAATGATGTTATTCCTTATTGTTCCTTTTATTTAGTTTATTCATTATTGTTCCTTGTTAGAATCAAAGTTCCAATTTGTTTCAAAGAACCGTTTTGTTTTTTTAGTTCTAGGTCTTTCGAAAGGTAATTAACCGATCGACTCCGATAAATATATATATACACATTATTAATTAAACAAAATTCATAAACTTCTCGTTTTGAGATGGAAACGACATTCTTGAAAGTGTTTATAGTCATATGTATCATTTTCAATTATTATTCATTAAATACCTTTAAATGTGTTCCCAATGATTGGTAGTAAGTAGTCTTACTCTTCTCAAGATAAATAACCACTTATCTAACAATTATAATAATGACAATATTGAATAATTTATCCTTGAACCTTCCTCCTTCTCTACCTATCATGGGCTCTAAACGCCTCGATCATTAGGTCGAGAGTTTAAAAGGTAAAATGGTAGAGTAAATATCTGAACATATTTCCCAAAAAAGGAAGAGTACCTACCAATATATTCCCGAAAAAAGCAATGACTTTAAACAGAGAAATGCTTAAATAAAGTTCTATACTCTCGATCAAGAAGTCATAAAGTTGAATGACGAACTAAAAAGAAAAACAAAAGAGAACAAAAGAGAACAAAAGAAAGACATCTAACAGACTATTTTCAAGAATATCTCAATACTTTATAAATGTATGTCCAGACATTGACATTGAACTCATACTGGTAAAGCATAACACATTATACTCACGCAAAACCGAATACTAAGGGTCTTATTACTCAGCAGCATCCAATGTGTTGTATCCCACATTAGAGAAATATATCATACATACTAAAATACTCGACCTCAGTGGTGTAAGGTAACAAACAAATAATAAACTTCTTAACCAAACATCAACTTATAGAATAGAGAATAATAATCAAACTCCAATTAGCACAACATAGCTAGCTAGCTGCTGCTAAAAGAATTCCTTCAACATTTCTCTCATTTTTCTCATATTTGGGGAAGCCCTTTCTCACTTGCTTCATTCAAAAACCAAACCACAAGAAAAACCTGGCACCATGGAGTAATAAAATTACTTATTCTCTATATAATTTAAACCCATACGAGCTAAAGGATGCATTTAGAGGAACATCGTACCACAATTTAAACAAGGAAAAGCCCACACGTCAAGCTGAAAATACTGTTCCCAGATTAACGTCGGGAGAGGCGTTTGTCGTATATTCCTGCAAGATGAACAGACAAAAAGGTTATGTATGCATACCGTCTCTGACTGTTAATATTTGTAACTTCTGGCCAAACCAAGAATAAAGTCCTAATAGTTGCTTTACCTAATACTTATTGGAACCTATAGCAGCCCAAAGTGCTCCAGAATAGAACTAGAGATCACAAAGGGCATAGAAGAAGGCCTGTAAATTATATCAAATATAAACAGTTAGAGACTTGATTGATGCATATGAGCAACATATAAAAGTTCGGTTCTTCAATCAGTTCAGTGCTAAACCTTTGCTTATTGAAATAGGCTCCATCACATATGCTTGCTTACTTCATTGACCAAAGTTCATCTCTGAATATCTGTAACGAGAAAAAGAAAGGCAGAGGTAAAACTCATTAAGATTTTGAATCTTCTCTCCTATTGGGAAGTGTGGACTTTAAGAATTTCTGGACTTACCTGCGTGGCTTATTTTGGCGCTGTCCAACATCATCACTTTCATGTTCTGCAAAGGAGGAAAGATCAGTTTTGCCAAAACTATGTTTGGGCCATCTGCTAAACATACACAATCAATAATATTGTAGTATGAAGAGGACAATCTTACCATTTTGTGAAGGCTTTGAATCATTACTGGATTTGTTTGTATTGTTTTCTTTGCTGCAGAGAGTAGAAATAATCAAGATGTAGTGATTAACGGAAGAACGTATGCCCAAGTGGATCAATAAAATAAGTAAAGAAGTACTAATGAAACCCTCCAGTATTTTAAAAGGGTACCAACTCTGTATCCCCAACATAATTCTAAACAAAGAGAATATTGATAGTAAATACTTATTTAGGTTTCCCACAACACAGCCAGAGTGCCGAAGTATGGCAATCTAAAATCTGAATCTGAACTAAAACACACCTCAAAAAAGTATCGACACAAATAAATGATGACACCAGACAACTTCAGTATTGAGAATTATCGAACCAGTAACAACATACTAACCTCAACGTTCCCACAGATGATGTCTGTCCTGAGGGTCGAGCATGATAAGCACCATCAACAGCAATATAAGGCGAACAATATGTAGCTCCCAGAGCCCCAGCTGCTCCGGCCAAAACTGGTAACCTGAAGAATATGTTGCTCCTTAAAATGAGAACCACCAACAGGCAATAGGGTGGTAAAATGGGTTTTTTCAAACAAATATGGAAGATAAGGAGAAAACGCATGAAGCCTGGTAAAGAGACTTCTTAATCTGTTCTGTCTCAGCTCATTCAAGTCACATAAAACCATTTAGGCAATGCCATCCAGACAATGAAAAATGGAGTAATCAAAACCAAGACATCCCAAATCATTAGATACAATGGCTTTCAAACAACATTTGGTTGCTGTAGTAGCTAATACATTTCATATCAGTGTTAAAAAAGTTCCAGTTCATTGTTCACTAAAATGTTGTAAGATCAACAGGAACATACACACACAGAACTTTTTATTTTTTTTTTCATGAAAAGCTAACTTTCATTAAAGGAAAAAAAAAAAAAGAAAGAATACAAAGGCATCCAAAAAAAACTAAGCCCACAAAAGGGAGTCTAAGGGACTCCAATCAAGAATAACCCAAAGCACAACGTATTTATGACATGTAATATAACATCCTCAAGAAAATGACAACTAGAAAGAGAATCCATACCATGTCATTTCTGAATTTCCCATGCCAAGTTGGGACTGGGCAACATATCCTGGAAATGCCATGCCAACGGCAGGAACTCCAATACCACCAGGATGCTGACCTCCAAATTGCATCACTTTACATGCGTTCAATGATAAAAGATTAATAGCATACACAATTGAGAAATTGAGAAAACGAGAAATTTTGAAAGGAAAAATAAAGGGAAAAAGAAAAAAAACATTATCTGTATTAACAAAATTCTATGTTCATCAACAAAATTATATCAAAGCAAAACGTATGCTTCATAAACTCAATTATACATGGCAACATATCAAACTAAGTGAAAATTTATTTTAAAAGAAGTGTAATAATCTCAAAACTGATTGTAATTACAAGGCCTATCCACAAGCAAGGAGAAAACACATGCCTTTTATCATCCTGCATTTCCCATAATGATAACAGCTGTGATATGTAAACTTTACCTGGCAAAAATGCTGGAGTATGAGGAAAGTTCTGGTCTCCGTGAGTAATATTCATACTCCCAGAGGTTCCCATAATCTGAGCCCCACCATAGATAAAGGAACCTGCACCAATACCCTGAGTCACACCCTTTCCCTTTCCAACCAAAGCAGTTTTCGATTTGCTTGATTCTGAAGAAGAATCTGCATCTCCAGATTCAAGTGAGTTAACTGACGTAGACGTTTTTGGTGGAGATGAAGATTGAGATCCACTACCAGGTCGCTGACCTGACTGCTGGACAGGAACCTGAACAGCAGGTTGAACCCGAGTTTGACCAGTAGTTCGGGCTACACCATGTGATTGTGTCGGTAAAGAGACCTTATTAACTTGGCTATGGAGTGATGCAGAAGGGTAGCTGGTCGATCCTATGACTGCACCCCTCCCCTGAGGTCTAGATTGAGGAAGTTGAGCATTATTGACCACTGAAGAACCAGAAGATGGCTTAGACAAAGGATTTCCTAAAGACGGATTAGTTGAATCCTTTAAGTAAAGCCTATCCATGGCAACAGCATCAACTACATGCTTTCCTTCCACCATTACACTTGATTGTGGCATGGAGCGACTATCATCATACATATTCTTTTCAGGAAATCCAGCTTGTATTTCTCTTTTTTCCACTTTAGGGATGTTTTTACTAGACGTCCCTGAAGGGTAGAAAGGCGGAGAAGCAGAATTCAGGCTTGATGCAAAGGCATGTTTCCTAACAGACACTGTCTCACCTTCTACGTGTGGAGAGGGTGCAAGAGATCTCCCTGTATTATTATTATGTGACGCTTTCTCAGGAGGCTTCACAGATCTGAGGTCATATGCAAAAATGGACATATACGAGATGAGTACGTGTCCATGAGCTGTACAAAAATTCTAACGAGTAAAAGAAATTAAAATTCATTTATAATCATTGGTTACTCACTGTTTTTCCTGTGAAGGAGAGGAACGGGTATTGTTGTTTAGGGTTGGTTCATATCGTCTAGGTCCTCTTCCTCTCACAACTTTAGGAGCATTGTTTTGAGTGTTATTTTTATTGTATGTTCGAGATGGGTTCCCGCGAGCATAACCATGATCCATGCCTCGACTTTTACCTCGACCTCGTGAATGACCCTTGGAAGTTTTTCTCTAATATGGTATAGAGAAAAGAACACATTTAAGAGAGATACTTAAGTCCACATTAGTGCATATCAAAAAACAAATAAATACCTCATCACGATGTCTTTCTTGCAAAGACATTTCTTCAAACTTGTCATGCCCCCATTTCATGTCATCCTTGGACTCCCACAACCTCCTTCCACCATGGGTTCTCCTACAGATTGTTTATAGACAAAAAGACAGAGAGAAGTACAGTTAGAAATAGGTCATACCAATAAATAGGTTAAGAGCTTGAAGTAGGAAGGTTGTATGGGAAGAATCTTGGGGGGGGGATCCAAATCCAAATCTAGAAAAACAATGCTGCCTCCATCTTCAAAAGGAAAGCATGCAAGTTCTCATAGCATTTCTTAGAAAATTGGAATTAATGTTGTGAGATAGAAATCTGAATTTTCCCTGCAAAGCTCGTAGTAATCAATGTCCAGGCTGATGATAAAACTGCTCATAATTGCATTGGAACATAGGGATTTCTGGTGTCGATTTCATCAGATTACTCATCTATAGTACCAAAAAACCTAGTCTATAACATGGATAGATCATTTTATAACTTGGAAAATTAAGATAAAGTACACTCTCTATGGATTTACATTTGCTGAAGAGTGCCGATTTCTTTACAAACCATTCCAGAGAACAATTTCGATCCCCTAACTCCTAGAAGAAGAAGAAAAACCGTGCAGATAAAAACAGTGCAGATAAAAGTTACCTAAGATGAAGATTACAGAGGGTTGATAATTAAAGAACTCTCGTTCTAATGATCACACTAGCATAAAATGCTCCCTATGAATGGCAAAAACTCCAATCGAAAAAAATTCTTAAGAAATTCTTTAATTATTTTCGTTCACAATTTTAGCTGAATCCTAGTTTTTCTTTAGAAAACAATTAAAATATATGCATAGATAAGTGGTGGCTTAACCTACAAAAAATCAAAACTGGACTGATTTTTCTCCAAATGAGAAAAGAGAACAAAAGCTATACCTGTGTCGACCACCTGCATTGTCCCTAAACCGATCATCATGCATATAGAAAGCCCCGGCAGTGGGGACAGCGAAGGGCTCATTCACCTTCTTCTCCTCATCAAATTCCCCTTCTAGATTCTCCCCGTGCATATCAGTTGGTCCTTCTGCTAATGGTCTTCCATCATCGTCCAGTTCCTTCACTGTATTGCCGGAAGTGGCAGTGGCATCCGTTTCGCCATGACCGGCCAACTTCCTATTCCCATACCTCTCTTCATCCTCCTCTTCGTCAACTTCCTCCGCTTCATCGACATCCTCAACTCCTTCACCAACCTCATCTCCATCTACATCTTCACCCAATTCGTCCTCATCGTCGTATTCCGCAGCTCCACCCTGACCATCCGAATCATCCGAATGAATCCCCATCCTCCGGATCGTCCGCCTCCCTTCTCCTTCACCTTCCTCATCATCACTCGCCTCCCGCCTCCGCATCGCCAGTGACCGCTTCGCTTCTTCCGGATCACTCTCATAATCAACCTCTTCTTCAGTCGCAGTAGCCATCAACAACTCAAAAAAAAAAAAAAAAAAAAATCCGAACCCTCACCCTTCCGATCACAACCACGCAATAACAAAACAAATCCAAGATACACAAATCCTCGTCAAGAAATCAAACAACAAATCCAAAATCCTCCAGAACCCCCTACACACTATACAGAAACCAAATAGGAATTCGAGAAACCTCGGCACAACTTGAATTGAAAACTGAAAATCAATGAGAAGAAGCTTAAAATTCCGTAAAAGGAGCGAATAAGCAGTAGAATTATGGTCGAAACCTAGGGTATAGCTTCGGCCGGAACCCTAGAATTAAAGACAGGTGAAGGATTATGGAGTTTTTGGTAGAAGACCGAGGCTGGATAAGGAATCCTTAATAGAGAAAATTAGGAGAAATTGTAGGGAATTATCTAATTTTAAAAAGGGTAATTTGGTAATATAATACACTCTGAAAAGAGAGAGAAATGAGATGTGAATCGGACCATGTCCGAAAATCTGACCAATTACAAGTCGCCACGCTAGCATCTTCATTGTGTTGTAACTTAACTTCATTCCACATGTAATATTTCAATTAATTTTACCACACTTTTTACTTTTTAAAATTTAAGGTTAAAATTATTTAAAATCATTTAAAGTTTGGAGTTAAAATGATCCTAAACTATTGATTTAACCTGTTTAACAGTAAAATTTGCTCATAAATTTATCATTAATTCTTAAATATTTACTATTACATATCCATTATTTTCACTCACGATGTTCTCAATTACACCTAATTTTCACTTAAATGGCGTTTGTAAATATATAATTATTTTTTTTTTTTAAATATTATATAATAATATTAAATTTTTTAGTTTTTAAAATTATGAACCCAGAAATTGCTCGTTCCCAGCTATTTGGTAGCATGTTCTTCCCTGCTCTCAATTTTCGGGGAGGGGCGCGAGACACTGCAAGATGGGTAGTTTAGATTGAAAAATAGAATTTATCTTTAAAAAAAAAAAAATAGAGAAAAATTAACTGTGGAAAACCAATCTACAAGATTGGGCTTGGGCCTCAGTTATTGGGCCTCAGTTATTGGGCCTCAGTTATTGGGCCTTATCAGCTCTGTCGGCCCAATAAAAAATCAACCGTCTAAAAATCCACTTATTTAAGTCTCCAAAACCAAGGCATCATCATTATCAATGGAGAGCTGCAAGGCAAAACTGGGTTTAATGGCGTGGCTGGTGCTGAGCTCATTAACGACGGCGAATTCCACCTCATTTCAAGAATGCTACGCCACCTGCTTCCTCATATGCGCCATCACGCCCGGCGTCGCCTTCTCCGACTGCCCATTGAGATGCCTGCAAGCCTGCATTATCCCATCTTTTCCTATCCACAACGCCGCCGCCGACGACGTCCACCGGCAACAAAAAAACCAGTTCTTTTGCGAGCTCGGCTGCGCCGCCTCCTCGTGTACCAAGTTCAGCACCCAGAAAAACCCAGGTTCTAAACATTAATAATTTGAACTTTTTGTTTCTAAATTTTATGAAAATATATTGAAGTGTTGTTGGTTTTGTTGATGCAGCTGAAAAGAAAGTGGGAAGCTGCGTGGATTCGTGCTCTCGGACATGCTCCATGGATTGATCTTAGCCGTTCAACTACTAGTTCGAATTTCTTTCGGTTCCGTACTACTTGTTGATTTGATATTGTCTATTTTAAACCTAAATTTTAATGACTAATCAAGATGTGTTCCACGTTGATTAATTTAGTAGAAGATGATGAGTTTACAAGTGAGGAATATTATCCCTATTGGTAGAGGTTTTTTGGGAAGCCCAAAGCACTAAAGTGTCGAACAAAGACTTTGTTCGAAGGCTCCAGAGAAAGGAGTCGAGCCTTGATTAAGGGGAAGCTATTCGAGAGCTCCATAAACCTCAAGGGAGACTTCTAGTAGTATACTTTGTTCGAGAGTAGGTCGTGCTAATATTAAATAAATTGTTAATATGTTAGAGAGGGTCACGGGATGGCATTATTATTATTATTTGATTGAACATAATTTTGGCTATATATGGCCCGTGAACTTTGTTTGTCTAAAACCACGCATCATTATTTGAGGACACCCATTTTCAAGCCATGCTTAGATCTAACACCTAATTATATCCCTTAATTAATTGGTTAACTAAGTTTACTTATTACTCAACTGTGTTTATGTTGGTAGATATGACGCAATATCTAATAAATAAGAAAACTCGAGAAAAATATTAGGTAGAATTGGTGGAGGTTATTAATGCAATCGTGCAAAAGATTAGGTTGAGACTATTTATTGCTCAGAGTCGACAAAAAAGTTATGCAAACTCTCCACTACACTAGTGCTGTCAAGGCAGGCAAAGGTCGGTTAGGATAATGTAAGCTTTAGTTTTGTGGAAATGGACAATAGTCTCCCGAATAGAGCCACAGTGTTGTAAACTCGTTCTTGAGAGGGAAGTGTGGGATCATATCATATAGCCTAGCCAGCTGGACAGGACACGGGGGGATCACATCCCCAAATTGTAGGTGTGGTAGCACCTCACCTCGATCACCTATTATTCATTGCGTAAGTATAATAAGTTGCCCAACTTGGAGATCAGAAAGGTTGTAGAACCTTTACAGACCCTAGGGGAAGACTTACGACAGAAACCCACTTAGAACATAAAGGCACCAAGATGCTTAAATAGCACCAAAGATCAAACCCCAAACTTCCTTGAGCACAAAGAAAAACTCCTGAAGAATGCAATGAGAACCTACGAGTAGGTGTTTACTCGATATATTTATATACTCGTTCATCTCTACATCTTCTTTTTCAGGTGAATGATGTCGCTGGTCAAGGTACGGGAGTGCTTAGTAGCTTTGCTGCCACAAAGGGATGTCGACCTAGGAGTCTGTCATGTTTGCATCTTATAGTTGTCATATCATCCTTTTCAGTAACTCGATCCCATTCCGAATTTTTCATTGATTTCATTCATATATGTTTTCATTGCACAATCAGTTGGTCCCGATCTAGTTTAAAGCTTCAAAAATTGAGTCGTGATAGTATATTTGATCCCTCTTTAAAAAAAAAAAATTACAATACAAAATCAAACCGATCATAATACAATTTTCTCAATTTTATGTTCACCGTTCAAAATGGCACGATAAATTAGAAATTAATTAAAACAAAATGAAAAGACAACTAAACTTTGGTGGACACAAACACTATAAAATCTAAATAATGAGCCATTGTACTTAGAATGGTGAGTGACGTATGTTCACTAAAACCTAAAAATGTTAAAATGTCAATTAGGTCCAACCCAATAATTGTATGATCTGATTGTCGATATATTTTAAGAAAATGTTTTAAGTATTTTAGAAATTTAAAATATTTTAGGAATAAATGATTAGATATTTTAGAAATAAATTGTATAGCCGGTAAGTATAGGTGAGATTCCACATCGAGAGGAACAAAACATTGCTTATAAAGGTGTGGAAATCTCTCTCTAATTGACGTATTTTAAAATTGTGAGACTAACGACGATACATAACAGGTTAAAACGGGAGCTTGAGTTGTTACCAATGGTATTAGAGCCAAACACTAGAGTAGTGTGTAAGCGAGGACGCTCGCCTTCAAGAGGGTAGATTGTGAGATCCATCCTACCTTGGTTGAAGGAGGGAACGAAACATTGCTTATAAAGATGTGAAAACCTCTCTCTAAAAGACACATTTTAAAACCATGAGGAAGGAGCGAGGACGCTGGCCCTCAAGGGGGTGGATTGTGAAATCCAACATCGGTTGAAGGAGGGAACACGAAACATTGCTTACAAGGGTGTGAAAACCTCTCTCTAAAAGACGCATTTTTAAACCATGAGGCTGACGGCGATACGTAACAGGTCAAAACAGACATTATGTATTAGCAGTGGGCTTAGGCTGTTACATAAAGTTTTCATCCCGAGAAATACCGAGCAGTCTCAAGTAGTATTATACAGAGTATCCTATAATCTCTTCTCAATTGATCTTAAAAAGAGTACGAGTTTTTTCCACAAAGAGTTGTATTCAACAAAACATCGCTAACCTAATCCAAACATACTAGACGTGTATACGAGTCAATGGTATAATAATGTTTAGCCCACTTCACAAACGCGGTTCATTCATGGCTATTTAAGAACATAAAACTCTCATCTCAACTCATCTCATCTCCAACAACTCAAAAAGACAACCCAAAGCCAAGTTTCCAAGAAGTTTGGGAAGAGAATGAAGACAGTTCTGGTAGCTTGCTTGGTTCTAAGCTTTGTGGTCGTAGGGATCTCCGAACCCACAGAATATGTCGGCGGCGCCAATTGCTACATCGGCTGCATTAGTAGCTGCCTAGACAGTACCTTCCAGTGCGCTTTGTGCATTGGAAAATGCATGATAAGCGTCGAGTCCTCCCCGACGCAGGCCATCCATATGGACAATCGTTACTTCTGCAAGCTTGGCTGTTCCACTTCTCGCTGCTCCAAGCTCCTCCTTAACAACCATCCAAGTGAGCTTCATTATTTATTTATTTTTTTTTATTATTATTATTATTATTATTTAAATCTTATTTATGTATATTCTTTATTTTGAACGTCTCAGATGAGAAGCAAATGAAAGGCTGTGTCAACTCGTGCTCGCATACATGCACGAACACCATGAACTAATAAGATCTACGTGACATGACATGACGAGCTAGAACTTGGCTTTATGATACTATAAATAAATAAATAAACGTCAATATTGGTATTACAAATCCAAATTGACTATAAGTTATGTTATGTATTAAAGTTTGTACTTATATCTATCAATAATATTTATGTGAAATAAATAAAGTTGCTTACGTGAGAATGGTTTACGAAGCTAATTTTATTGATATTAAAACGTAACTTAATTAGTAAAGATAAATATCTCGATATCAAGAAATTCAGATGATTGTTTCACACGAGTCAAAAGGTTTAATTATTTTTAGGTCATCTCAAATGTCGTTCCATTCGGCAAGTGCTTATTTAAAAAAATTTCAAAACTAAAAATTTGTAATTTTTTCGTGAGGTCACCCATATAAAATTGCTCCAAGCAAAACACTTTTAACTATGAAATTCTTATGATTGAACAACTGAAAAAGAAAGTGCATATTGTTGATATATGTAGAAACTTTTATTTCCCTTAAGATTTTCTTAGTCATTCTATCCTCAAAATCGTTCATTCAAATGTGATTTCAGTTCATTCATGTAACTCTCCTTTACTCGAGTGCCACAATATTTATGGGTATAATCAGCACTCTTAGGACTATTAGATGTCGTTGAATTCAAGTTTTAAATCTTGGTCTGATCCTAAGTGGGAATGTTTGCTTAATCCACCACACCTCAATGGTCCTCAATGATCTGAAAGTTATCTTATTTGTAATCAAATAAATTACAAGAATATCTCTAATAAAATATCAAATATGATATATATGGTAAACTATAATTTAATACTAAATATCCTTAACACTAAGCATGAAGCACTATAAATAATATAAGAACATAACCTCTCATTATAGGATGTTGTTCAAGAACGAACCAAAACAGAAGTCGGTTGGCATGTGATGCTCGAGTAAGAAAGTGGTACATGAATGAAATTAGATCACATTTGAATAAGAGTAATCCCGAGAATATAATAATAAAAAATGACTTTAATTACTACCTAAACAAACAAATTTCACTTTTTTTAACCTCTCCTCTGGACATCTAATGTTTTAGTACAGAAAAGATACATGAATGAACCGATATCAAATTCGAATGCGAGTAATCCTAATAATTAAGAAAATTTTAAAAGAAATTTTAAATACATTTAACTGTAACGTTCTTATGATCGACTATACAAAAAATATATATATTTCATTGATATTGACAATAACTATTATATATTTTAGAACTGTTTTTAAGAATAAATATTATTTTCCTGTGATATTGGTTCATTCATATTTACGGATCGAAAGCAATCATTTTAATCAATTTTCATAATAATTAATTTTTTATAATTTAAAGTTGGAGTAAGGCTTTGGTTGGTAAATGGTTAATAATTAAAATACAAAAGTGTAATAATCCAAAATTAAAACGAAAAAAAAAAAAAAAAATTGTCACGTTTGTAAGGCAACTTGCATTCATTCAACTAGTTTCCAACTCTTCAATATAATATATTTAATTGCTATTGAAATATAATTTAATTAATATAAATTCTATATTTATCCTAAAGATAAGACCACATTTAAATCTGTGTATAAGATAATTGTTTCACCCGAGTCAAAAGGTTTAATCATTTTTAGGCCACCTCAAAAGTCGTTCCACTTAGCAAAGGCTTATTTAAGAAAAGTAAATCTCGAAAAAATGAATTACCACATAAATACATTTGATATCTCTCGAAATTTAGAGATTAAATTAGGGTTTGTGACACCATTTTCTCAGTTTTATGTACACCATTCAAAATGTAGTGTCACGATAATCAATTAGTGAAAGTAAATTGAAAAGACATAACTAAAAATATTATTTTATTTATTTTTATAATTAAGTGTGGTAAGAACATGAATGAATTGAGAGACCAAACATGTGAATCTGAATAAGAGTTATTTTGAGAATATGATAAAAAAAAAATCAAAATTAATAAATAAATTATTTATGAAATAAAAATAAAAAGTAAAAATCAATTATTTATGAAATAAGACCTAAGTAATTATTTGATTTGTAGAGATTTTGATGGAAAAATTATTTAAAGATATTTTCTTTTTGTAAATTAAAAAAAAAAAAAAAAAAAAAAAAAGGNAAACTCAAGGTATTAATTTTGAATAATAAAATATTTCTTAGTCACTTAATTATAAAATAATTAAAGTAGAATCATATAAATATTGCGGAATAGAAAATTATAGAAACACTTCTAGACAAAGTAAATAACATGATCGAGCTATGAAATGTTGAATTCAGATCTAATTCCTAGTTCAAATCCTAGACACAGATGTTATAGATGCTGAATTTAGATTTTAGCAGGTGTGGATAGTTTTTTGTAAGAGCCCAAACCCATCGCTAGTTGATATTATCCACTTTGACTCATTACGTATCGCTGTCAACCTCACAGTTTTTAAAACACGTTACTAAGGAAAGGTTTCCACACCCTTATAAGGAATTCTTCATTACTCTCTCCAACCGACGTGTGATCTCACATCTTCACGCTGAAAAATACTTATAAGACAAGTACGTAACTTGATCAAACCATCAAATGATGAATTCATATTCCAAATCTTAGTCTGAATCCTAGGCATGAGCATTATTACATATGACATCAAAGCATAATCTCTCTATGTAGGAAGTGATTTAGAATGAACCAAGCGAGAAGCTGGTAGACACGTGACACTTGAATAAAGAAAGTGTACATAAATTAACCGAGAACACATTTGAATTAAAGAAACTTTACTACAAAGACCACGTGGATAATCACTAAAATCTAAACTTTGGTGGACACATCCAAGTAATGAACCATGGTTAGTGAGTGTGTTGGGTTTAATCATTTGTAGGCACCTTCAAATGGTTATTTAAGAAGCTGATGGTTCGTTCCCATCCCCAACGACCCAGAAACAAACTAAATCGAGTTCCAAGAAGCTTGGAAGATGAAAGTCAGTGTTGTAATATGTTTGGTTTTGAGCATAGTTATGGGCACCGGTAGCTCCCCAACACTTGGGCATGCCGACTTGTCGAGTAACCCATATTGCTATGCCTTCTGCGTGCTCCCCTGCTTCACTGGCCCCGTCGAATGTGCATTATGCATAGGAAAATGCATATTATCTGCCCAAGACTCCCCCATGGATATCAATCACTTCAACAATGCTTACTTTTGCAAGCTCGGGTGTGCCACTTCTCACTGCACTAGGCTCCTCTCCAACGCTCGAACAGGTCAAGCTACTCGATCTCTTCAAAATTTTAATTCTATTTTTCGTTAATATATATGTTTAGGTACGTAAACATATACGTGTATGTGCCCATGTGTCTAAATATGCTAATAAAATTTTGTTGTAAACGTGACAGATGGGAAGAAAGTCGAAGGATGTGTTGACTCGTGCTCTCGAACATGCTCCAATGTGAAGAATTAATGAAGGAAGACGAAATTACGTGGAATTAAATGAATAAATAAATGTCAAATATTGGTGATAATAAACCATTTGACTATGAAGCTAAATCCTAGATTAAGTTAAGGTGTGTATTATTAGTATTATAAGTAAATAAATAAAAATAAGAATATCCATGAAAATTATATTATGACTGGATTAATTATTATAATTTTGATCTTATTTTTAATAATTATATTCAAAAGCATAATTAAAATAAGAAATTTTAAATAATAAAATATGAATGAAGTCCGCCGCTTTCCCTGTAGTTGTCAGCTCGTTCTTGACAGATCCGATCGGGTGTTCATAATCTGGAGTAAAAGGATTCAAACCTTTATATATCGGTACTAATAACTAATGTCTTACCACTTGGCTATACTCCATAGGACCTTGTTTTGGACGGTAGAACGGGGAGAGGGGGAAGGGAGAAGCAGGGCAAGACTTAAGGGAGAAGAGTTGTGCAAGAACACGGGGATATAGGAAGTAAGCAGCCAAATTCTCTCTTGTTGGACTGAACTAAATATCATCCATATGTATGTATGTCTCGTAGAGAATTAATGTCATGAAAAGTATGAAAGTATTATGTAAATCATGACTCGTATACCACGTCGGGACAATGGACTTATCCCGACCATTCTGAAATCAAAATGTATGCAAATTGACCTTAAAATTAAAATGTTGACTATCCACTCAACTTCCATAATCAAGCGTAGATTATGTTTTTTTTTTTTTTTTTTTTTTTTTTTTTTTTTTAAGATTAAGAAATCAGAGCAATTGGTGATCTTGATTTCTCTAATGGAAAACATCATGAAATTCACAAATTTCTGTCTACTTATAAGTATTGTCTGACTCATGCATTAAGGGTTTGAATGACAAAATATTGCTAAAAGAATGAACAAAAACTTACAATTTTATATTTTCTCCCAATTTTAAAACAGAGAGAATCAAATATTGTGCAATCATATTGCAACAAGTGGATTTCAATAGTCTAATTACTCTCGTAGTGAGAAGGGTTGGTGATATGTAACGACTCACGCACAAGATTTAGAATTTGAATTCGGTACTTGATGACCTCGACATTGTGAGATCTCACATCGATTGAAGAAGGGAACAAAACATTTCTTATAAGGGTGTAGAAACCTCTCTCTAGTAAACGTGTTTTAAAATCGTGAGACTGACCGCGATACATAATGAGTCAAAGTGGACAATATTTGTTAGCGGTGGGCTTGGACGGTTACAAATGGTACTAGAGCCAGATACCGACGATGTGCCAGTGGAGACGTTACGCCCTCAAAAGGGACGAATTGTGAGATCTCACATCGGTTGGAGAGGGAAATGAGACATTCCTTATAAGGGAGTAGAAACCTCTCTCTAATAGACGCGTTTTAAAACTGTGAGGCAGATGGCGATATGTAACGGATCAAAGCGGATAATATATGCTAGCGGTGGGCTTGGACTGTTACGAATGGTATCAGAGCCAGACACAAAGCGGTATGCCAGTGAGGACGTTGGGGAGATCCCCCATTGGTTGGAGAGGAGAACGAAACATTCATTACAAGAATGTAGAAACCTTTCCCTAGTAGGTGCGTTTTTAAACCGTAAGGCTGACGACGATACGTTACGGGTCAAAACAGACAATATCTCCTAGTAGTTTGCTTGGACTGTTACAGGCATTCTCGTGCATCTTTTACGACATGATCACGTTACCATCTCCTCGCTTCTTAAACCCCACATACGAATAAATAGGAGCCTTTGAGGAGTATTTTTGAATGGAAGACTTGGCTTTTTAAGTCAAGGCTTGAATCATTTTCCTACTGCTTATTTTCCACAAGCCAAGTGGTTATTTAAGAACAACCACTCTTCCCCAAAGCCTCACATTGAAGAGTGAGTGAAAATGAAGTCAATTGTTCTAATTTGCTTCATTCTGAGCTTAGTGGCAGGAAGGTCCACAGCGTCCTTTAGGAAGTGCTATGCCAAGTGCTTCGTAGTGTGTGCTATCACACCAGGCATCACCCTTGGCACCTGCGGTGCAACGTGCTTGGCGAAGTGCCTGTTCATTGCATCTGCCCCAATGGATTTCAACCATATGGACACACATTACTTCTGCAAACTTGGGTGTGCCACTTCCATGTGCACCAAATTCAGCACCAAGAACGACCCTTGTGAGCAAAATTTCCTGTACCCATTTCTTCGTTTCTTATTTTTCAAACATGTTTTCATTTTGTGTTATGAACTTGGCAGCTGAGAAGAAAGTGGAAAGGTGTGTGGACTCCTGCGCTGGAACATGCATCAAAGCTTAGAAACATGAAGAAGGGAGGAGGAGCTGGGATTGGCCTTAACACCATCAATAAATAAACATATTTTGGTGTATGCATGGTTTCAAGTCTCTGCCCGTGTTATGTGAACCATATGCCTTAAATGTTTAAAAACTTATTAGACACAAAATTTGATCTCAAAGTTTGAGGGGCCAAGAGCTCTAAACCTTTCTTTTCTTTTAAGTGAACTTTTAAAACTCGTTTCATGAAACCATTTGCATACGATCCGATGAAAAGTAAAAGGGAAAAAATCCAGGATTAAGAATTATCAATGCAAACTAGGCATACCCGAGTTTACTAAGTTGGATGGCAAGAGCTGAGTAGAACCAGATGACCCAAAATAAAAATATTTGAGATAGATTCTTCACGGCTGAGAGGACCTTCAAAAGCTCTTCTTACCTGTTTATAAACATAATACCATCAATATAAGAAAACGAGAACCAGGCAAAGCAGTGTGCAGCCATCTCAACTAGTTTGGAACAGTAGTGCTTGAATAGGCAGAGTATACTTGGTGATATCATAATGTTCCAATATCCAAACAACAAAAGTAGCATTTTCCGTTTCTTTCTTCTTGCCTTTCTCTGTGTTAACAAAGTACTCAATCTAGAGGCCTCAGAAAAAGCTGGTTCATATCGCAAAGTTGAGATGGACGATTATGAGATTCTGCCAGTTCCCATAGTCTAGGGGCATATCGAGTCTGAACATATGTTCCACCCAAGATATGAACAGAAAATAGTCTATGATGACAAATAAAAACTACAACAAAATTAGTAACATTCTATGACTCATGAAATGCCGAACCAAAAAGAACTACTCGCTCGAGCTGTAGGATGACCTCTGATCGACGCTCCACAACAGAGCAGAAACTATGCAGCTGTTCTTCACTAAGTATAATTTTTGCATCATTGAGTCCTTAAGGAGAATTCTCTGGTGTTTTCAGAACTGTAGAGGCTTTACCTTTATGCTCAGTGATTGCTGCTCGGAACTCCTCCACAATGGATACATCCCTGAATTTCAAACCATATGTTGAGAGACCATCCTTCCCTTCGCTGGCGCTGTTCATGCAGGCAAAGGTGATACCTCTCTTGTCCATGTTTGTGAGCTTCATGTCAGGGTAAAGACTGGCATTCAAAATCAGCCTGTAATTTCCTCTAGCTCTCATAAGAATCCTCGCTCTACCAGTCCCACTCGTCGGGACATTAACTTTCAGCTCTCCCTTTCCACGTTCCTTCCAAGATCCATCGATAAACTCGAACATTATGGAATCAGCATTGAAGACTACTTTTTCATTTTCTTCACCCGTTTCAACGGCAACCTCTTGCATTGATGGAAAGCCACTTTTCTCACTCTTGGAAACAATGGAAGACCCTGAAGTACCAAAGAGGGCTGAGCTACCATTAGTAGAGAGACCAAAACTAGCAGTCAGGCCAACCCCATCCTTGGGTATATTACCAAAGGAGAACGTAGATGTCGGAAGTCCAGTGCCGGCAAGACCTGTGAAGGCATTCTGGCTACTTGATAATTGTTGGAATGAGCTCAAAGGACCAGCCTTCTTACTAGGATCTGTTTCACTTCCGTTTTCTTTGTTTTCTTTGTTTTCTTCATTTTCTATCTTTTCTTGATCCCCAGTTTCCTTGTTTTGTATCTCATTTCCTTCAATGGGTTCTTCATTTTCATTCTTGGCATCTCTAGCAGGATCCTCATTTTCGTTCTTTTCACCTTTTGCAGGATCCCCATTGTCATTCTTACCGCCACTTACACATTCATCATTCTCAGCCTTCTCATCTCTTACAAGTTCCTCATTGCCATTCTTATCTTCTCCAGCCGGTACTTCATTTTCAATCTTATTGCGCTCAGTAACTTGTTTATCATCTAGCTCAGATATGGCAGATTCGCTTGCAACAGTGCTGTTCTGATCAACATTTTGCACATTTGGAACAGATTCGGCCTCTGATGTGTCAAGTTTACATTCTGCTGGCTCGTCACTATGACCATCTTTTTGAAACTTTTCATGAGAAACATCCTTTTGCTTTGCCTCATTTGAACCAGTTTTCTCACCAGCTGCCTGTGCATCACTTTTAACTTCTGAAGCACTTCCATTATTTTCAGTTGGAGGTACCAAGCGTATTCCAGCAAAAGGATTAGAAGACGGGGCAGAGGCAGTTTGACCACGACGTACTTTGACAATTCTTCTGGTGGCTAGGACCTCTTCACTAGCTCGCTTGAACGTTCCAGCCTCTTGCTCAGAAACATCTTCTTCATCATCAAGCCCAGGGTTATCTCGTGATAGCTCCCTTCCAGCAGCCCTCTTCTTTGTAGATGTTGCATTTTCAGCATCCCCCATTGAGTAGTCCAGAAAATCAACAAGAGCTCAAAGTTCGGCTAGAAAGCAGAAACTGAATATATATATATATCTGGAGATTGCACAAACATTATAACTTAACAAGTTAAAAAAAAAAAAAAAAAAAAAAAAAAAAAAAAAAAAAAAAAAAAAAACTTCCCTTACAAATACAAACAGATTAAGTGAAAACATAAAAGCAGTAAAGCCTAGAGAAGAGTGTAGAGGAGGAAATGAGAATTACAAATAGACAATCTCTTCTTTAAACAAGATAATAGTAGGCAATCTCTTATAAGCCATTTGTTTCAGATATTTGGAAGAGTGAGATGCAAAAAATAGGATGTCTGGATCTGGATATAAAATCTATAAATAAAACTTTCATCTGTTTGATTTTTACATGGAACACATAGAAATTCTTATGAATAGAAGATGTTTGCTGTTCGACAATTTAAGAATTCCTACTTTGGAACTTATTAATTAGCTATAATTATTTAAATCAAGTGACCATACTAAAATCAATTTAAGTTCATGAATAGTCGGTACAATTACATCTTGATTCCTAAGATTTTGGTTAGGATTTCTAGATGTAAAAAATAATAGCAGAATCCCTGGACTAAGAGGTTGTATATGCTACCTAGAAACGAATTACTGTTAATGACTTCAATAGAATGAAATTGCAGTTAAATAAATTTATATGACATGTTGACATATTTATTTAATATACCATAATTTTGTAATATTAATTATGCTGGCAAGCCATTCAACCCTTAATTTTTCATTTTTCATGTTGCTTTCGTGCATTATAACATGAACACATATAGCATTACAAGATGAGGCTTAACCTAAGACAATTATCAGATAAGGTGATATTACCCCCAAGACCATCTAGTCCAAAACATTCATCATTTTAAACCAACCCATTTCAATCCTCATTCTTGACATTATTGAATGATGAATATAACTTCAAATCCTGCTTGAGATCAGGCAGGTAAAGATGCAACATGAACTTTACGATGTGTCTTAACCTAAGTCTGAAAACATGGTAACCCCCTAGAACATTGCCTCATAGACGTATAATGAAATAAGTATTGAGAAACAAAAAAAAGTACAAGATCAGTTATAATCCTAAAGTATTTAACCAACACATGAAACATAATTTTTAATTTATCGACATGTACATTCCAACCAAAGAAATGATATAACAGTTGTTATAGCATAAATGAGAACTGAAACAAGAGACAGATGGTCGTATCTAAAAATAAGTCAAACATAACACAGCAAATGATAAACCATTTCCGCAATTTAATGGAAGAGGCAAGGAACTTTGAACATGCATTGGTGAACGGTCAATGTCAGTAAACAATAGACATGTTAGAGCCAAAGAGAGTGAAGGGTTTCCATGACTGACAATTTCAAACTGCAGATATGATAAGAAGAGAAGCCTACTATTACAATAGCCACAAACCACTGAATAAATGATCTACAAGATCAAGATGGTTGTCTCAGCCACGAAACACAGCCAACAGGATTTAAGGAGCCACTAAACAACCTCATAGAATTCACTAGACTCAGGAGTGCAATGATTACGAGGATCTTATATCAAGCAATTAATTAAAAGGTGATCTTAGGATCGCATCTTAAACCCTCAAATCTTTTGAAATGAATCCTGCAGCTCGATATGCATCACAACAACATTAATTGCCTATTAAGGCCACTGTTTAATACCTAAAAGAATCAAAATGAATAATAGAGACCCAACCGGTAAATTGTCAAGGTTGCGGTAAGGAATATACAACAAAGATCAATAACAGATGACATAACAAGAGTGACAAAAAGGTTCAGCATCAAAAATCATTGTCAACTAGTTGAACGAAAGGGATCTCTAAATTGAACATTCCATTTAAGGGTTAGCTTTTCTTTTTCATTTTCACTTTCCATTTCCCTTTTCCCTCTTTCTCTATAGCAGAATCAAATCTCCCTATACTCTTCCGACTCTTCATGTTGCGTATCCTCCCACAATTGGTAACCAAAAACCCAAAATAGGGTGCAAGGGCTTGAACTGTACCATCCCGAACTAAAATTAAAATCAACAACATCGCCACCAGCTTTCATTAGAAAGAACGAGCTATCCACTACACCAAAACACACAAACAACTCAAAGATTCAAAGAACAACGAACAGACACACAATCAGAAGCCCCTGATTTTGGAATAAACATAGAGTCAAAGTAGAAAAGAAAATCGAATAAATTAACACATCCAAATCCCCTGCCCTTCGAAACGAAAAATAAAAATGTGAATGGAACAGGAATTACCGAGAATCCAAGCAAAGCTGGTTCAGAAGTAGAAGAAATGAGGGTTCAGAGAGAGAGAGAGAGAGAGACTGAAATATGAGGGAGGGTTTTTGGTTTGGTTCCCCTTTCATTTCTGGATTTGAACGGGCACTCGGGTTTCTCTCTCTTCCCTTGTTTTTCGGCGAGGTTTCTAAACGACGTCGTCACAAGAAATACTTATCTATAAATACTAATTAGTCAAATTAATTAAGACGAAAATTATAATGCTTATTTATAAATAATAAATATTATGTTCAGTTTAAATATTTTAGTTATAAGTACAGAAAATGAATAATATTAACGAGAGAAAAATAAATAAATAAATAAATAAATATATAAATAAGAGGAAGGTGCCCGGGTCTTTTGCCCGCGGGTTTTGCACCAGCGGTTTCACGCTACCCGTGGATCTTGGGCTGGTATTGTGGATCATAGGCCCAATAATAATAAAAATGAAAAAATAAATTTAATAATGAATAGTTTATTTTCTTTATAAGCTTGGAATCAAGTTTAATATAATTTATTCAATTTGTGTCACTGGATTTGCTAAAATGACCCTCACAGTCCAAGGTTTTCTTTGTTGAGTGAGAATGACCCCGATATTAACGGATAAGAGAAATCTATAAATTGCCCCTAATGTACTTGACTAATCACCCAATTAATTAATTAATATATTTAAATTAATTTACGAACACAACTTGAAAGAGAGGATTATCCAAAAAGTAACTTTAAAGTGATTGACCAAAAAACCAGAAAAGAAGGCAATAAGAAGGTCAACTTTTTGTCTTGTGCGAGTAGCGTGAATGACAAGATACCTCTCACTACTAAAGACCAACTTTGAAAGACTCTTTAAATGATTATAAGTAAAATGCCTAAAATATCATTTCAAACTGGCTCTAACTTCAACTTTGTAGCGGGTAGGAACGTAAAAAAATATTAATGAATGATCAAAACGAAAATTGTGAGATACAACTGGGGAGAGGAGCATTTTTTACAAGAGAGATTTCAGAGCAAGACGCATTTTAAAAACTTTGAGGGAAAGTAAAAAAAAAAACCCAAACAAAATAACATCGTCTAGTGGTAAACTAGAGTTGTTACAGAGGATATCAAAACCAAACACTGAACAATGTGCTACCAAAGAGGCTGAGACCCAAAGGGAGGTGGACACAAAGAGGTGTGTCAGTAAGGATGTTGGACCCAAAGGAGGTGGATTGGGAGTTCCACATTGATTGGAGAAGGAAACGAGCGAGAACACTAGGTCACAAAGAAGGGTGGATTGTGAGATACCAAATTGGTTGAAAATGAAAATGAAACATTCTTAATAAAATGTGTGGAAACCTCTCTAGCCATGTTCTAAAACCTTGAGGAGAAGCCCGAAAAGGAAAGCCCAAAGAGGCCAAAATATGCTAACAGTGGATTTAGACTGTTACAAAAATAAACGAGCAAGACAACTATGTGTCGCTTATTTGTATTTCACGAGTCTCAATAAGTTAATCGACTTGAGTCGAGCCTCGACTCTGAAGGTAAGATACAGTAACATATTGAAAATGGGGCTATGGCTAAAATGGAATAATAATAATAATCAGATCTACATGCGCCACCTATGCTCTAAAAAGGCAAGATCCAAAAATGAGGTTAACTATTGCATTCGAAAAAAGATTGGAGTACATCTATCTATAGTTACAAAAATTGACTTTATAGTCATAAAGAATGAATAATTCTTTAAATTTTTCTATTTTCCGGAACGATCATATATATAGTTGAGTATATTCTCACATGGCGTACCCACGTCTGCACAAGAATCCATCTGCCCTTCAGCATCGAATCATTAGCTGAAGCCTAGTGATGTGATGTTAACACTGCAAAATAAGGAAATGAATACTAAGTGAGAACAATATTATAAAATGACAATAAAAGAAACACAGATAAAACATGGGAGAAGTACAGAAGAATTGATTACATAACCGAAATCAATATTCCGATAACAAGACAATTCATATGTTATGAACATCAGTGTATATGAAAACAATAATTCGTCATAATCTAAAATGTTATCTGATTTACTGTTCACATGCTGCTTATCAGAGTAGAAGTTGTATCACTAATAGAGCAACTTCAAGGTAACAAAAGGAGACGTAGGGGAAAACAACGTTCAAGCTGTGATAGCAGCGAAGAACGAAAAAAAGGGTGAGGATTAATGGTGGCAGTATGCTTATGAACATCAGTGAATATGGAAACTAATAATTCGTGATAATCTAAAATGTTATCCATGCTTTTTATTTGTTGTTGTGGACAGATGATCTAGCAATACAGAAAGCAAGTTGCATAAATACATGCAAAGCTAGCATATTAGAATGAACGAATCACCAGAGACAACAATTGGATTTTCACACTTGTGCAACCAATTGCCTTTAGGCCGACTGGGTTCCTTCGTTATTCGTACCCCACTCTTCATCATCCTCGTTGCCGTTAACAAGAACGGCACCATCTGTTGAATCAGCATCCACTACAACAGGATCCTCTTGGCTGTTTTGTCCATTTTGGTGCTCTGCAGTCTCTTCATCTCCATTCTGATCAAGAACCACCACAACTCAAACTAAGCTCTAAACCTCAATACTAATTTATGCAAGGAATAAAAAAGGCATATCGTTAATGTTGAATTCCATGGCTAGGATGGTATAAAATGGGACAAAATGGCCAAATTTCATAACCCAACCATTCATATGTATATGCCATAGTGATAGGATTTAATAGCCATTCGCAAGTAATTGAGTAAAAAATAGCAACTACGAGTAGTAGAGAGGAGTATCTCTCCTGCATATAATTTAGTCTCTTGTAAACAAATACACTTAAGTTCTTAACATAGGATATAAGAGCTCTGCCTTCTCGCCTACCAAGAGCACCTAAGCCTAACAACCAACAAGAAGACCTCTAGTAGTTCTTAGTTGCAAAACAGAAAACTCATTGTTATGAAGAAGCCACAAGCAAAAAGATCGCATATTATCAGTAATTTCACATTCGATCAAAATCTTGACTAATAGTAATTTCACATACTAAGGTCATATTCCTAACAAGCCCACAGTAGGGCCCCACAACACAACACAACCCATATCCATTACACCAAATGCACATCATTCCCTTTCCTACGTGAATTTTAGAACCCGGGGTCTACACTTGGATTTAGTTTTGGTGGGGCAACCTTATGAAGAGCAAAAGGAAATCATTTAGCTCAACTTCATCAGGGCCTTTCTTTGGTCAATTTGGATCGAGAGAAACTATCAATCAAGGAGAAACTTTTTTTTATAGTTTTTTATTCGCTCTTTTTTAGCATTAACTTGGTGTAAGAATTCTAGCCTTTTGCTCTTACGACCTATCTTCCCTCATGACAAATTAGAAAAGTTTTTTGTAATTCCTATGCCCAGGCCTTCTTTAGTTTCATGTTATCGATATTCTCTAAGGATGTTTCTCATTTAAAAAAATAATAATAAACAATTAAAAAAAAAAAAAAAAAAAAAAAAAAAAAAAAAAAAAAAAAAAAAAAAAAAAAAAAAAAAAAAAAAAAAAAACTATATATTCACACCCTACTGAATCTCTCTTCCTAAAGTCACGTACAATTACTTACTCTGGACAGCTTTTGAAATGGTGGTCTAACTGATAGTTAACCATAGCTAGAAGAATAGGAATGATCAATAGCAAGGATAGTATCAAATGTCTTCCACCAACTCCAGCATTTTGGATAAGAAGGAACCAAGAAATAACTTTTTACCTTTAAAAGTAATATGAAATTTGCATACAGCACATACCTCAAGATTTGAATTTCCATTTTCAAGAAGCTCCTCTTCATCCATGGGCATATTCCTAAAAGCTTCCACAAGTGTTGTATGTGACCTCTCAGCTTGATTAGCATACTCCACCGCAGGAGGATAAACACCCCTAACAAAATTCAAGGAAAGAAATAAATGTTGGCAGTAATCAAGTATCCGTTGACACTAGTTTCTTGATCATTTGATTTAGGAATATTCAATCTAACACAATTGACCGATCAGAAGTGCAATAATTACAAAGGATCAACATTAGTGGCCGATGATACAAAACAGAGAGGTTGGAACTACGATGGATAATGCATTTGAACATTAGAATTATCAGAGGGCATGAAGAAAGGTGAGGTCGTAGAACTTTAAGCAGAAGCACGTGCACATACAACTATTTCATGCAAAAATACACATGAATTAAGATAAATGTTTCAACCAGACACAATTAGGGAATGTGCATATTCCTTCTTAGGTTGCATAAATTGTAACAAAAAGAGATAGCAATTCTACTCGAAGTATAATAGATTTTTCAGCCTCCTTTTCACCCCAGAGACAGTTTTTGCTTTCACACAAGTATAGTTATAAGAGAGATTCTTATTAAAAGATTGCTCCTCATCATTCAGACCAATTCTTCTTTCAACAATTATTCAATTTCTCAAGACAGGCACATATAAAAATTATACACAAAAGTACCTGGTCTCTGAAAACTTAGATTCAACAGAAATAGCTAGTTGCCAATCATCAAACAGATTAGGATACTCTTCAGGATCAGCTAGTGAATCAGCGGCTTTTGGATTGACCTAAAATATTTTCAAAATTATATGAACAACATGTTAGATCAATGGCATCTTTGATCAACATGTAATAAGCATAGACATGTAAAAATAATAAAACACCGAATTGTTATCTAATGACATGAAAATTTGTCACTTAGGCCAAATTTATGCATGTTGTCATCCTCAGATATGTACGTGCATTTAATTTTACTGAAGCATGAGATCTGAAAGCCTTCAGTTCATACTGCTCCTTTCTTACTGTAAATTACATGATAAACCCCTTAAATAAAAGAGGCAAAATTATATGTTACATTTAACATAAATATTTTAGGATAGCAATCATGCAGGAAGCCTATTAAATGGCGTATACATCAGATATAAATATAAAGGTAAGAACAATGAAACAGAGTAATAATGGGAGGCAATAAATATCGACATGCCTTTTCTAATGAAATATATGTTTCTTTTCTCAAACTCTATGATTCCTCTCAAGCCAAATCTTCCAAACAATAGGGAAAAAAACAAGTCTGACAAAGGAGTTT